GATATCTGTCCATAGTGGCCTGTACCTCTCGTTCCTTTATCACTTCCCTAAAGTGTTTCACAACATTGTCAGTGTACAGGTTGCCAACACGGCTTGCAATAGCTGTGTGAGGGTGATTTTCATCCATGAAGGTTTGCACTTCAAGCCACTTTGCACAGATTTCCTTTATCTTTGTAGTAGGCAACTTCTTCAATTTCTCTCTCCCCTCCTCTGAACCAGTTTCCCAGGTCTGGCCTCTTGCTCTTGAAGTTGATCTATTCAGCTCATCAGTGGTTAGTTCTTCATTGTCCTCCTCCACAACTCTTCCACATCCTCCCCACTAACCTCCAACCCAAGGACTTTCCCAATGCCACAATGGATCCTCAACTGGCATAATCCTCTCAGGGTTAGCCTCAAACCCTTCAAAATCCCTTTTGTCTACACATTCTGGCCACAGTTTTCTTCCAAGCAGAGTTCAAGGTCCTCTTAGTCACTTCCTCCCAAGCCTTACCTATAAGGTTTACACAATTGAGGATATTAAAGTGATCTCTCCAAAACTCTCTTAGAGTCAATTGAGTTTCTGAGGTCATTACAAAGCACCTTTCAAACAGAGCTTTTGTGTACAGTTTCTTAAAGTTGGAAATAACCTGCTGGTCCAGGGCTGCAGGAGAGGAGTGGGTATTAGGAGGCAAAAACTTCACCTTAATGAAGCTCATGTCCCCATAAAGTCGCTCTGCCACGTCTGTAGGATGACCAGGGCATTGTCTAACACCAGGAGGCACTTAAGTTCTAATTTCTTTTCAGTTAGGTAATCTTTCACATTGGGGGCAAATGCATGGTGTAACCAGTTATAGAAAAATTCCCTAGTGACCCATGCCTTACTGTTTGCCCTCCACAGCACACACAAATTATCCTTGAGGACATTCTTTTGCCTGAACGCTCTGGGAGTTTCAGAGTGATACACTAATAAAGGCTTCACTATTGCAATCACCAGTAGCATTGGCACACATGAGAAGAGTAAGCCTGTCTTTCATAGGCTTATGTCCTGGGAGTGCCTTTTCCTCCTGAGTAATGTAGGTCCTGCTTGGCATTTTCTTCCAGAACAGGCCTGTTTCATCACAATTAAACACTTGTTCAGGTTTCAGTCCTTCAGTTTCTATGTACTCCTTGAATTCCTGCACATATTTTTCAGCCGCTTTGTGGTCCGAACTGGCAGCCTCACCATGCCTTATCACACTATGGATGCCACTACGCTTCTAAATCTCTCAAACCAACCTTTGCTGGCCTTAAATTCACTCACATCATCACTAGTTGCAGGCATTTTTTTTAATTAAATCGTCATGCAACTTCCTAGCCTTTTCACATATGATCGCTTTGAGAGACGCTATCTCCTGCTAGCTGTTTTTCATTTATCCACACCAATAAGAGTCTCTCAACATCTTCCATCACTTGCGATCTTTGTTTCGAAAACACAGTTAAACCTTTGGCAAGAACAGCTTCCTTGATTGTCTTTTTGTGTGCCCACAATAGTAGCGATGGTTGATTGGGGTTTCTGTACAACTTGACTAGGTCGACGATACGCACTCCACTTTCATACTTATCAATGATCTCTTTCTTCATTTCAATGGGAATTCTTACCCTTATTAGTGTACGGTTGGCACTAGAAGCTTTCTTGGGGCCCATGGTCACTTATTTTCCAGAAACAGCACCGAAAACACTGTAATAATACGAAATATTCCGAGTGTATGCTTGGATGTTACCGCGGAGGCTGGCTGGTAAACAATGGCACGGGCGGCACATGTGAGGCTGGCTGAGGGCGCACATTGGACGCGTCTCGGACGAAAATCGGTGAGCTGGTTTTTAATCGGTATGCGCGACAAACATTTTGCGATTAAAGTAAGCGGTATGCGAAATAATCGCTGTGTGATGCCATCGTTATGCGGGGGTCCACTGTATATATATATATATATATATATATATATATATATATATATATATATATACGTTATATATATATATATATATATATATATATATATATATATAATATATATATATATATATATATATATATATATATATATATATATATATATATTTTTTTTTTTTCAACAAGTCGGCCGTCTCCCACCGAGGCAGCGTGACCCAAAAAAGAAAGAAAATCCCCAAAAAGAAAATACTTTCATCATCATTCAACACTTTCACCACACTCACACATTATCACTGCTTTTGCAGAGGTGCTCAGAATACAACAGCTTAGAAGCATATACATATAAATATACACAACATATCCCTCCAAACTGCCAATATCCCAAACCCCTCCTTTAAAGTGCAGGCATTGTACTTCCCATTTCCAGGACTCACGTCCGACTATATGAAAATAACTGGTTTCCCTGAATCCCTTCACTAAATATTACCCTGCTCACACTCCAACAGATCGTCAGGTCCCAAGTATCATTCGTCTCCATTCACTCCTATCTAACACGCTCGTGCACGCTTACTGGAAGTCCAAGCCCCTCGCCCACAAAACCTCCTTTACCCCCTCTTTCCAACCCTTTTGAGGACAACCCCTACCCCTCCTTCCTTCCCCTATAGATTTATATGCTTTCCATGTCATTCTACTTTGATCCATTCTCTCTAAATGACCAAACCACCTCAACAACCCCTCTTCTGCCCTCTGACTAATGCTTTTATTAACTCCACACCTTCTCCTAATATCCACACTCCGAATTTTCTGCATAATATTTACACCACACATTGCCCTTAGAGAGGACATCTCCACTGCCTCCAACCATCTCCTCGCTGCTGCATTTACCACCCAAGCTTCACATCCATATAAGAGTGTTGATACTACTATACTTTCATACATTCCCTTCTTTGCCTCCATAGATAACGTTTTTTGACTCCACATATACCTCAACGCACCACTCACCTTTTTTCCCTCATCAATTCTATGATTAACATCATCCTTCATAAATCCATCCACTGACACGTCAACTCCCAAGTATCTGAAAACATTCACTTCTTCCATACTCCTCCTCCCCAATTTGATATCCAATTTTTCTTTATCTAAATCATTTGATACCCTCATCACCTTACTCTTTTCTATGTTCACTTTCAACTTTCTACCTTTACACACATTCTCAAACTCATCCACTAACCTTTGCAATTTTTCTTTAGAATCTCCCATAAGCACAGTATCATCAGCAAAAAGTAACTGTGTCAATTCCCATTTTGAATTTGATTCCCCATAATTTAATCCCACCCCTCTCCCGAACACCCTAGCATTTACTTCTTTTACAACCCCATCTATAAATATATTAAACAACCATGGTGACATTACACATCCCTGTCTAAGACCTACTTTTACCGGGAAGTATTCTCCCTCTCTTCTACACACCCTAACCTGAGCCTCACTATCCTCATAAAAGCTCTTCACAGCATTTAGTAACTTACCACCTATTCCATATACTTGCAACATCTGCCATATTGCTCCTCTATCCACTCTATCATATGCCTTTTCTAAATCCATAAATGCAATAAAAACTTCCCTACCGTTATCTAAATACTGTTCACATATATACTTCAATGTAAACACTTGATCTACACATCCCCTACCCACTCTGAAGCCTCCCTGCTCATCCGCAATCCTACATTTTGTCTTACCTCTAATTCTTTCAATTATAACCCTACCGTATACTTTTCCTGGTATACTCAGTAAACTTATTCCTCTATAATTTTTACTATCTCTTTTGTCCCCTTTCCCTTTATATAAAGGGACTATACATGCCCTCTGCCAATCCCTAGGTACCTTCCCCTCTTTCATACATTTATTAAACAAAAGTACCAACCACTCCAACACTATATCCCCCCCTGCTTTTAACATTTCTGTCATGATCCCCATCAGTTCCAGCTTCTTTACCCCCTTTCATTCTACGTAATGCCTCACGTACCTCCACCACACTTACATTCTGCTCTTCTTCACTCCTAAAAGATGGTATACCTCCCTGGCCAGTGCATGAAATTACCGCCTCCCTTTCTTCCTCAACATTTAAAAGTTCCTCAAAATATTCTCGCCATCTACCTAATACCTCCCTGTCCCCATCTACTAACTCCCCTACTCTATGTATATATATATCTTTCCTAGGTAGTAGGTTGGTAGACAGCAACTGCCCAGGGAGGTACTACCATCCTGCCAAGTGAGTGTAAAATAAAAGCCTGTAATTGTTTTACATGATGGTAGGATTGCTGGTGTCCTTTTTTCTGTCTCATGAACATGCAAGATTTCAGGTATGTCTTGCTACTTCTACTTGCACTTACGTCACACTACACATACATGTACAAGCATATATATACATAACCCTCTGGGTTTTCTTCTATTTTCTTTCTAGTTCTTGTTCTTGTTTATTTTCTCTTATCTCCATGTGGAAGTGGAACAGACTTCTTCCTCCGTAAGCCATGCGTGTTGTAAGAGGCGACTAAAATGCCGGGAGCAACGGGCTAGTAACCCCTTCTCCTGTATATATTACTAAGTGTAAAAGGAGAAACTTTCGTTTTTCCTTTTGGGCCACCCCACCTCGGTGGGATACGGCCAGTGTGTTGAAAGAAGAAGAATATAAATCTTCTTTCTTCTTTCAATGTACCAGCCGTATCCCACTGAGGTGGGGTGGCCCAAAAGGAAAAATGAAAGTTTCGCCTTTTAAATTTAGTAATATATACAGGAGAAGTGGTTACTAGCCCCTTGCCCCCAGCATTTTAGTCGCCTCTTACAACACGCATGGCTTTTGGAGGAAGAATTCTGTTCCACTTCCACATCAAGGTAATAGGAAATAAACAAGAACAAGAACTAGTAAGAAAATAGAAGAAAACCCAGAGGGGTTTGTGTGTGTATATATGCTTGTACATGTATGTGTAGTGTGACCTAAGTGTAAGTAGAAGTAGCAAGACGTACCTGAAATCTTTCATGTTGTCACATTTTCTTGTATACATTTGTTTACTTTTTTTTTTCATACCTTCTACAGTTAGTTGATTCTGGAGGTAATGCAATTGTGGAATCTGGAGAATTGGAGTTTGAGGTGTCACGATGGGTGTGCTCTGGATTGAGAGTAGAAAGTGTTAAACTGAATCCCCCAGCCAGCAACCTTAACAAGTGGGTACGTTACCTCACGACCTCTGACAGTGTCAGCGTCCGCTTGACCTGATGTTCCTGTGAGGTGTGTACCTTGCAGTTGTGTGCTCTCGTGTTACCTCCATGCTTTAATACTGTGTCATATAATTTTTGTTATAATAAAATAAAATAGCCTTGTGTTTACCGAGATATTTTATGACCCTTAGATCTTGTTAATGACTTGAGATTATTCATTTGCAAGAAGCTGTTCCTTATCTTCCTGTTCTTTATGATGCTCTCATTACTTTTAATCAGTATTAAATATTTGTACAAGTAAATTCTAAAATATGAATATGGAGCTGCTATTTATGAAAAGAAAATTTGGCATTGCATGGTGCTGGATTTAGATTTTCCTGAGGGGTCATGTTTACTGGGCAGCACCATTCATCCTGTGAGAGTGAACATATTACCGTAACAGAAGTACATTATAGTCAAAGTAATTTACATATCCTTGTCAGAGTGAACTCCATCCTTTAAAATTAAGAATATTTCAACAGGTATTAATACCTTAGAATAAAAAGGCATGATACCATTACTGGAACAATACACTAATAACCCACATTTAGGAAACTGAAACTTATGATGATGTTTTGGTCCAGATTGGACCAGTAAGTAGTCATACTAACTAATCTGTGTGACTAGTTAATGATCCCAGTAGGACTGAAATGTCATCATAGGTTTGTCTCCTAAGTGCGGGTTGGTTGTGTGTTACTGCCTTTACAAATGACCATCATATAATTACAGCAAATCCTGTGTATTTTAGAATGTTTTACCAACCTTAGTTACAACATATGTACACTTGAAAAGTATCAGTTGTATACACTATATACTCTTATAATCTGATGCATTGTGAGGTATAGTGCTGGGGTGTTTATCAACATCTCCATACACTTTCCATTGTCTTTCTTATAGCTGCTACTCCAACCTACCCCATGTATAGGTAACTTACTGTGACCTTATGTTAATGCTGTACAAATTTACTGTCAACTGATGCTTTTCTCATTGAATATATCTACTAGTTTTTTATTTGAATTATCCTTGTAATTTGCTGCAGTATTTCTCCAAACCTGTAGTCTACATACACTGCAAATGATGTTGAGCTGCTGCAAAATTGCAAAGGAATTTCTAGCAACATAGGATAAAGGTAATAAAACTAAATTTCACTTGATTTTTTAATATTTGGTCATGTTTAAATGGGAATTGACACAGTTACTTTTTGCTGATGATAACGGGCTTATGGGAGATTCTAAAGAAAAGTTGCAAAGGTTAGTGGACGAGTTTGGGAGGGTGTGTAAAGGTAGAAAGTTGAAAGTGAACCTAGATAAAAGTAAGGTGATGAGGGTATCAAATTATTTAGATAGAGAACAATTGGATATCACATTGGAGAAAGGGAGTATGGAAGAAGTGAATGTTTTTAGATAATTTGGGAGTTGACTTGTCAACGGATGGGTTTATGAAGGATGAGGTTAACCATAGAATTGATGAAGGAAAAAAGGTGAGTGGTGCATTGAGGTATCTGTGGAGACAAAAAACATTATCCATGGAGGCAAAGAAGGGAATGTACGAAAGTATAGTGGTACCAGCACTCTTATATGGGTGTGAAGCTTGGGTTGCAAATGCTGCAGCGAGGAGGTGGCTGGAGGCAGTGGAGATGTCCTGTCTAAGGGCAGTCTGTGGTGTAAATATTATGCAGAGAATTCGGAGTGTGGAAATTAGGAGGTGTGGAGTTACTAAAAGTATTAGTCAGAGGGCTGAAGAGGGGTTGTTGAGGTGGTTTGGTCATTTAGAGGGAATGGATCAAAGTAGAATGTCATGGAGAGCATATAAATCTGTAGGGTAAGGAAGGCGGGGTAGGGGTCGTCCTCGAAAAGGTTGGAGGGAGGGGGTAAAGGAGGTTTTGTGGGTGAGGGGCTTGGACTTCCAGCAAGCATGTGTGAGCGTGTTAGATAGGAGTGAATGGAGATGAATGGTTTTTGGGACCTGATAAGCTGTTGGAGTGTGAGCAGGGTAATATTTAGTGAAGGGATTCAGGGAATCCGGTTATATTTTTATATAGCTGGAGTCGAGTCCTGGAAATGGGAAGTACAATGCCTGCACTTTAAAGGAGGGGTTTGGGATATTGGCAGTTTGGAGGGGTATGTTATATATCTTTATATATGCTTCTAAACTGTTGTATCTGGGTGCCTCTGCAAAGACAGTGATTATGTGTGAGTGAGGTGATAGTGTTGAATGATGGTGAAAGTATTTTCATTTGGGGGATTTTCTTTCTTTTTGGGTCACCTTGCCTCGGTGGGAGACGGCCGACTTGTTGGAAAAAAAAAATGTATAAATGTGATTTGATGGTCAGTTTCAAGCAGTTTGACACAGAAGCAAAAAATATTTTCAAGCAAGTTTAAGTCCATTTCTTTCCTGGTGATACCTGGAGAGGGTTTTGGGGGTCAAAGTCCCCACAGCCGTCTGTGAATCCAGTTTTTTTCTCGATCAAGCTTGCTGCTGAAGTGTTTTTATGATGGAGCTTACTTTCAATTCATTCCAACAATTTTTGATGGGATTCAAGTCAAGACTGATAATGTCATGCAACCATTTCTTGACCCATTTTAACATGTGGCATGGGGCACTGTCTTTCATAAAGCATGTGTGGTGCCATGAATCTTTGTGAAATGTGAGGGCATGTTCCTGAAGCACATACAGTATACATGAGGAGCTCCATTCATTGGTGTTTTAGAGCATGAAGCATAATCTTCCTCAACCCTTTAATTGACTAAAGCAGCCCTATATCATTCCATCAGTGAAAATGTGGTTTTAACCTAATATCTGGGCAGTAGTTTTTGATGAACAATGGGTGTCTGATATATCCTGTGTATGTAGGCACACTTAAAAGAGTACTCATTACTCCACAGAACTTGAATACAGTCTTAAGTAATCCAATGTTCATGTTGTTTGGCAAATTGGATTCATTTAGCTTGCATTTGTTTAATTAGAAGACGTTTCTTGGCAGGTGTTCGAGATGGTATCCCAAGTTCTTTCTGCTTTTTTCTGATACATGCCGAAGTAAATCAGAGTGGTTTTTCTTTTCTTTAGTACTGTTACTGTTATCTAAGAATCCTTCAATACTTCTCTGTATAGGATAGTCGAAGCTGAAATCACTCAAACCTTCTAGGTCGCAGTTTCTTATGAGGAAATTGTGTTAGAGGGCAGATCATGAGAGGCAGCAATTAATTGTGGATTTTCATGACCAGTACAGACACAAATCTCGCTTGTAGGCACTTTTTCCTCTGCCCATGAAATAGCACTTTGATACTCAAAACATGATGGTCAAAACAAAGTTCATTAGCTAATTTAAGAGCAGCTAATTCAGTCTGTGTTGTTGATACCCAATTTTGAACTTGTAAAATTTTCAAGATGTCACATAAAGTTTTGGTTCCTACAGTAATCACTGATCCAGCAGTATTACTTTCAGGATCTACCAGACCATTGGTGAATAACTGATCGAGACCTCCTCCAGGTTTCAGAATTGATAATCGCTAGTTAGTAATTTTTTTTTTTTTATTTTTTTTTTTCAACAAGTCGGTCGTCTCCCACCGAGGCAGGGTGATAATAATAATAATAATAATAATGGGAGCAAGGAGCTAGTTAACCCCCTTCTCTTATATAAATTAATAAATGTAAAAAGAAAGATTTTACATTTTCTTCTTGTTTGGGTCACCCTGCCTCAGTGAGAGATGGCTGTTGTTGAATAAAAAATAATAAAAAAAACATGCACTAAACCTGTAAGGGTCATACATTTGGTAATAGTTAAGTATTCACTTCTCATTGCAGTTGGTAATATATCTTCTTCATTTGGGTTTAGTTTCCTCCCAAGGAGGATTCCATTTAATGTCCTTGGTGTTACAATGGTTCATTATGTAGTATATAAATAATTTAGATAATTGACCTGATGAAGTATTTGATTATTATAAGTATTATTTTCAGTATTATTATATATAGGGGAAAATATTAAATGAATATGGGTCATACAGCACCTGGGGGAATGGGCAGTAAGAGTTGATTAAAGGAAAGGGAGGACAGGCTCAGTTCCTTGCAGCATGAGAGATTTACCATCATCAAGGAACCTTGAGAGGTTATATATAATAAAAGGGCTTGGTTGTGATATGTTTATTGCAGCATTTGTTGCCTTATTAAACAACTAGCCAGGGCTGCACCACACAGTCTCATAATTGTAAACATTTACAAGGTTATGTACCCACCAGTGAATGCTCTGCAAGTAATTATCCATCCATGTCAACTTTTTTTTTTTTTTACAAATCTATTATTGTACAGGCAGAGCTGTTATCCTACCTCAGCTGATTTCAAAGCCCAGCCCTGTCTAAGGTATACTACCATCACCCAGGATGCAACACACAACAGTTGAATAATACCTGGGTACCTGTAAACTTACTGCAAGGTGAACAGGGGTAACTGGTTTAACCCTTTCAGGGTCGAGACCCTCGATCCTTAACTCCCACTCAGGGTCAAAAAATATTCAAGAAAAAAAATTTTTTTTTCTTATGAATTTTTTTTTTTTTTATACTATTATAGGCTAAAAACAATTTTTGTGATCAATACTTATCGAGATATGTAGGCGTGAAGTTGACAAAAATTGAACCGCTTACGGCATCCTCACTGACTGCTGGTCACCCGGTAAGAGTTTATTTTTTTTTTTTTCCAAATAACTTTTATGGCCTGTGAGATCAATATAAGGCCTGTTTTTTATATATTCAATCATTCTATACTACATAATAACTGCACAAACATTGTTGTCAATATATTGTTTACAAAACATGTTTACACAAACCAATAATATAAAATGTTGTTTATTACTATTTTTCTATCATATATATACATATAGTCACTGGACATGTTCCTAGAAGCGCTGCAGCCTGTGGAACTCTTTGAAACATGGTGTCATGCACAGTGGTGCTTTGCACTCCTCGCATAAAACGAGTGTCTCTGCATTGTTGTGGGCATTTTTTTTGTATGTGCACAGACATGACACCTCCTCTGAGCCTTTTTCTTGAAAGCAGTAGCAGGCAGTTTTATTAGGAAGTGATCACCAGGTCTCAGACGAGAGGGTATTTGCTGATAATTTCATGGGCGGTGTTCTA